TTCTCTTTGTGTACAGTATGATTTTATGTTCACAATATAGTCCAGCAGGTGGCGTTAATTTACATTTAAGCTTGTTGCTAAATGGCAAAAACAACCGAAGAAGAAGAAATTCAAGATGGCGGCCGCTACTGCAATGGAAGARGAGTTTGAAGACGCTCCCGACGTGGAGCCATTAGAACCAACTCTGAAGAACATTATCGAACAGAAATCTCTTAAATGGATTTTTGTTGGTGGAAAGGGTGGTGTRGGTAAAACCACATGCAGGTAAATTAAAAGGGAAAACGATAATATCGATGTAAGCTAGGGAAGTTAGCCGACGATAGGCGTTTTACACGGTCAGCAGCTAAAGTTAGCCGATTCATTTGACACGATAGAAGAGTTTCTGACATGTTCTCATTATTTAATCTAATCAACATTCATCATATCTGTTTTATATAAACAGATAATATGTCCTTAAATTAAAAATAACTAAACAAAATTTGTTTACGTCTGTCAACCATGACGTAGGCCTACGTTTGTTTACRTACGGAAACAGCCGGATGACTGTAAACAATGGCGAATTACGGAGGAGTCAGGACACTATTTTTAACATTGTTACATGTTCACACTCAGGTTTGTGTATTAAAATATCCATATAAAAGTGCTTTGTTTTGATGGAGTGTAGACCCGTGTTTCAAAATTGTAAATAATAAATTGTGAAGCTTAGCAGAAGCTGTGCCAGAACTCCTTTCTTTGAGACCACTTCTCCTAAAATAATTWAAAAAAATGTTTTAACAACTTTTACTTTTGACATTCTTCTTGTAGCTACAACTGTATGTCTAAACTTGTCCTGACTGCTTACCTGGGGATAAAATTCATTATTCTTTTTATTAATTTACTTTTTAGCTGTAGTTTAGCTGTCCAGCTGACTGCTGTCAGGGAGAGCGTCCTCATCATATCCACAGATCCTGCCCATAACATCTCTGACGCGTTTGACCAGAAGTTCTCAAAGGTGCCTACAAAAGTAAAGGGCTATGACAACCTTTTTGCAATGGTAAGTATGTCAAGAAGTCCTTTAGCACACTAGAAACATATATTTGAGAGATGGCTTATGTAAAGTAGGATCTACTGGGGGATGGGGATTTAAACATCCTGTTTAAATTTTGCTTATGTTTTTAACATCTTGTCTGTATCATGAGATCACTCACTTCCACATGAGTCTAACAAAGACTGCTGTGTTAAATACTGAACTCCCGATGGGAAAAGAAAGAAAAACAACAAACTCTTTGTGTGGTTTGTTTTGTGTGTGGGTTATAACAGGAGATTGACCCAAGCCTGGGTGTAGCAGAGCTGCCTGATGAGTTCTTCGAGGAAGACAACATGCTCAGCATGGGCAAAAAGATGATGCAGGAGGCCATGAGTGCTTTCCCTGGCATTGACGAGGCCATGAGCTACGCAGAAGTCATGAGGTGAGGAGGCAAAAAAATAAGTTGCAGAGAAGATCAAACACTTTTATTAAGTGTTGATAATGAACTTATGCAGTAAGGATATTAAGTGTCYTCTGTATAAATTGTCTGTATCTCAGGCTAGTGAAAGGGATGAACTTCTCTGTGGTGGTCTTTGACACTGCCCCCACTGGCCACACACTGCGGCTGCTCAACTTCCCCACCATCGTGGAGCGAGGCCTGGGTCGCCTCATGAAGATCAAGAACCAGATCAGCCCCTTCATCTCTCAGGTCTTATTAGTTTCACCAACATTTACGTTTTCTTTAGTTGTGGCTGATACTTTAATAACATCTTTAATAACATCTCACTTTTTGCGATTTTTATTTGTTTGTTTGTTTGTTGTCTAGATGTGTAACATGCTTGGTCTGGGAGACATGAACGCAGACCAGCTGGCGTCTAAGCTGGAGGAAACTCTGCCAGTCATTCGCTCCGTTAGTGAGCAGTTCAAAGATCCTGTAAGTATCAACCTTTGCACGACTGWAGCACAAATCACTTAAACACATAAAGCATTCTTATGGATGCACTTTTATGAGTTGGGTTGTTTTTCTTTAGATTTACAAAATGTTCTTTACATTACATTTGACACAAATCAATAAGATATATTTTCATTCACGACATATTAAATGTTCCCTGAATGTGTTTTGTAAGTTTCCTCTCATTTTCACCCTCCTTCCAGGAACAGACCACCTTCATCTGTGTGTGCATCGCTGAGTTCCTGTCGCTGTACGAGACCGAGCGTCTGATCCAGGAACTGGCCAAGTGTCGCATCGACACACACAACATCATCGTCAACCAGCTCGTTTTCCCCGACGGGGACAAGCCGTGTAAAATGTGTGAAGCTCGTCATAAAATTCAGTCCAAGTATTTAGATCAGGTAAGGCAGTTTCAATCCTGCAGAACTATGCAGATGTTTGTGTTTTTCTTTTCTTTTCTTAATTTGATTATTATTTTTTCCTCCACAGATGGAAGATCTGTATGAAGATTTCCATATAGTAAAGTTACCGCTGCTGCCCCACGAAGTCCGAGGTGCGGACAAGGTCAACATGTTCTCTAAGCAACTCCTGGAACCCTACAAACCCCCAAACAAGTGATGAACCCCGTCATTCTGCAGGTCCTGCTCTGTCTGCACCCCCCCACCCCTTCTTACAAACACTTCAACAATCTGAATGCTCCTCCATCAAAACGTCTCTGTCCCAACCAGCAACACCTTCAACATGATCCTGTCAGTCCTCTGAAGGAGACCCACATTCCTGTGTTGAAGAGGAGCTGATCACACACACACACACACACACACACACACACACACACACACACACACACACACACCCTCTTTACTTCTGTTCTAGTCTTAATGCATTAAACGTGTTCTGATCAAACCCTCCTCCTGTGCTGTTTACAGCCTGAAATGTGAAAGTGTTGCCGGTGACAGTGCTGTTTATTTACAGGATAAAGCCGCTCCGATGGTCGGCCTAATCGCCTTGTTCACTCTGTGTGATCTGGTGGCTGTGTCTGTCCTCCACTTTGACGTGTTGACTAATTATAAACTCGTCTATATCTTGAGAAGTTCCACCCTGATTTCCTCTGTAATGGGTTTTAACAYCAGGGCGACTGGTGGAGGGGATAAAAGATTTAGCAGTTTTAAACCTTTAAAAACATTTTATTTCAGTGCATGCATCATTTACCATCATAGGTAATTAAATCCTGCCATAGTTCTAGTGTCACWTAACGGTCACTGTGATTTTCAAAAGAACATCGTTTAAATMGTAAWATTCAAACATCATAGCCTTTTGTTYCATATTTTGGACCACTCATGCTTTGTTGGAGATTGTACCAGTTGTGAAAGGCTAATTTAACAGGTTTTCATGACTAGTGAAAGCTGAACGTGTTGTGATGCTGCAGAGCTCATAAAACCCATCGATTATTCCTCAAACAGTCTGTGAGCTTTGTTTACTGGTGTTTGGTAACATTTATGAGGAGCAGCAGTAACTGAAACGTGTGTGAAATGTTTTTATTTTATTTTTTTGGTCTAGTTTTAAGCAAACGATTGTAAACATCCTTATTGATTGAAAACTCTAACGTTCAGGTAGAAAACCTGTTCAGGCATCTCGATGTTAAATCAGAATTTCCCCGCTCTGTCACTGAATGCTTCTGAGTCGATCTGTTTTCTAGAGATTTTATTTAAATTATATTGCAAGTGTGAATTAAAGCAAACTTGCCTCAGCTAGCAGCTGTTTGTGGTCGTTCTTTGAGACACTTTTTTCCATGAAAAGATGAACGGGTGCTGAAATTTGTGAAGATGAAACTTGTAAAGTTGAAACAAGCAAAAAATAGAGCATTAGTAAAACTACTAACTACAAGCTGAAATTAACAAAACCTTAGCTAAATGTTAAAAAAACAGCTAAAGATAGCAAAACTGCAGCTAAAGATGCTAAAAATGGCAAATCACAGCCAAAAGCTAAGGACAATTGTAGAAAAAAATTGAAGCAAAACTACAGAAAAAGCTAAAATAGCAAAGTTGTAGCTTAAACAACAACAATAAACAAAGCTATAGCTAAAACATGCATATGAAACTTGATCCTAACCAAATTAGCTGAAAGCTAAAAATAGGAAATTTGCTAAAGACAAAAAGGTCAAATCATGGTAAAATAAGTAAAAAAATATCAGGACAGTAGCAAAAGCTAAAAGACAAAAAGCAAAACTTCAGCTAAAAGCTAAAATAAGCAAAAAGCTGAACATAAAAATCATTAAAACTAAAAAAACTGCTAAAATTTAGCTTAAAATGTAGCTAAATTGAGTATAATAAAAGTCAAAGCAACAGTTAAATGATTTAAATTGTATTAAAAAATTACAAATATAAATAGCACATTATTCCCCATCAAGCTGAACATTTTGATAACTGAAAACAGAAGAAGTCCTAAATAAACCATTAAATCTGCCCATGTTCATCATAACTGATGTTTTTTTTTCAGTCTGACAGCATGAAGCCAACAAACAAGCCTCCTGCTGAAACTGGTAAAAGATTTGCACCAAAATACATCAAATCATTTAAAGTCAGCTTTAATACCTGCAGAAGTTATGAAAGTAATTTTTGTTAAGATTCTGTCTTGAATGTGACATCAGGTCTGGAATGCTTCGAGCTGCAACACGTTGTGATTTCAGAAGTGTGGCAGGGAAAAGTGCTTGTTGTTTTCATGTCCCAGCTCAGACGTTTACACGGTCCACTTGGTTTTTGTGTTTCATAACTCTGTAACTGTTTGGCCCCGGTGCGCTCCCGGTGCCCCGGCCTGTCGCTTGTGCTCCATCAGAGGCCCCACTGTCCCGGTCGGGGGCCGCACTAACGAGCTCCTCCTCCTTGTTTTGGAGATTTACACCCTGGGCGCACTGACCGCGGCTGACGCCAGAAGGTATCGGGGTCATGAGCTCCTTAAACGCACATCACTGGTGACTGAACTCACTGCTTCAATTAGACAGGGAGATGGTCTGGGCTGATCAGCTGGACAAATCACCTCAAAAGATAAGAGGAACAGCTCACTTTAAGTTATTTCARTGTTCAAGTTGACGTGATTAATTTGTAATTTCTGCCTTTTAGCACAAAGACCTGGAAGCTGTCCCTGATGACTGTCACCTACACGGCCCGAGTGGCCAACGCCCGCTTCTGCGGCTTCTCCAAACTGCTGCTGGCCTGGAAAGGAAGCATCTACAAAGTCCTGTACAAAGAGTTCCTGGCCTTTTTTGCCATGTATGCATCGATCAGCATCACTTACAGGTGGGGCGCGCAGCTGGTAGAAAGCTTTGATCCATTAAATTGTTCTATACAAACCATGGATTTCTTTTCTTTTCTTTTTTTAACCRAATTCAGATTTCTCCTTTTTGATGACCAGAAAAGATACTTTGAAAAGCTGGCAATTTATTGCAACCATTATGCCAGCCTCATCCCCATGTCCTTCGTCCTGGGTAAGATTTCTTGATCATTTTTGGGACTTTGTCAA